CACAGATTATCGTTGTTTAGGCTCTATCTCTTCTAGTTTCCAAAATAAATGGACTTTTATGTTTTCACTCAAAAAATCGATTTTTAATGTGAAAATATCGATTTTTGATGGGAAATAAAAGTGATCACAGATTATCGTTGTTTAGGCTCTATCTCTTCTAGTTTCCAAAATAAATGGACTTTTATGTTTTCACTCAAAAAATTGATTTTTGATGTGAAAATTTCGATTTTTGATGGAAAATAAAAGTGATCACAGATTATCGTTGTTTAGGCTCTATCTCTTCTAGTTTCCAAAATAAATGGACTTTTATGTTTTCACTCAAAAAATCGATTTTTGATGGGTAATAAATGTGATCACAGATTATCATTGTTTAGGCTCTATCTCTTCTAGTTTCCAAAATAAATGGACTTTTATGTTTTCACTCAAAAAATCGATTTTTAATGTGAAAATATCGATTTTTGATGGAAAATAAAAGTGATCACAGATTATCGTTGTTTAGGCTCTATCTCTTCTAGTTTCCAAAATAAATGGACTTTTATGTTTTCACTCAAAAAATCGATTTTTAATGTGAAATAAAAGTGATCACAGATTATCGTGGTTTAGGCTCTATCTCTTCTAGTTTCCAAAATAAATGGACTTTTATGTTTTCACTCAAAAAATCGATTTTTATTGTGAAAATATCGATTTTTGATGGAAAATAAAAGTGATCACAGATTATCGTTGTTTAGGCTCTATCTCTTCTAGTTTCCAAAATAAATGGACTTTTATGTTTTCACTCAAAAAATCGATTTTTAATGTGAAATAAAAGTGATCACAGATTATCGTGGTTTAGGCTCTATCTCTTCTAGTTTCCAAAATAAATGGACTTTTATGTTTTCACTCAAAAAATTGATTTTTGATGTGAAAATATCGATTTTTGATGGGAAATAAAAGTGATCACAGATTATCGTTGTTTAGGCTCTATATCTTCTAGTTTCCAAAATAAATGGACTTTTATGTTTTCACTCAAAAAATCGATTTTTAATGTGAAAATATCGATTTTTGATGGGAAATAAAAGTGATCACAGATTATCGTTGTTTAGGCTCTATCTCTTCTAGTTTCCAAAATAAATGGACTTTTATGTTTTCACCTAAAAAATCGATTTTTAATGTGAAAATATCGATTTTTGATGGGAAATAAAAGTGATCACAGATTATCGTTGTTTAGGCTCTATCTCTTCTAATTTCCAAAATAAATGGACTTTTATGTTTTCACCTAAAAAATCGATTTTTAATGTGAAAATATCGATTTTTGATGGGAAATAAAAGTGATCACAGATTATCGTTGTTTAGGCTCTATCTCTTCTAGTTTCCAAAATAAATGGACTTTTATGTTTTCACTCAAAAAATCGATTTTTAATGTGAAAATATCAATTTTTGATGGGAAATAGAAGTGATCACAGATTATCGTTGTTTAGGCTCTATCTCTTCTAGTTTCCAAAATAAATGGACTTTTATGTTTTCACTCAAAAAATCGATTTTTAATGTGAAATAAAAGTGATCGTTGTTTAGGCTCTATCTCTTCTAGTTTCCAAAATAAATGGACTTTTATGTTTTCACTCAAAAAATCGATTTTTAATGTGAAATAAAAGTGATCACAGATTATCGTTGTTTAGGCTCTATCTCTTCTAGTTTCCAAAATAAATGGACTTTTATGTTTTCACTCAAAAAAATTGATTTTTGATGTGAAAATATCGATTTTTGATGGGAAATAGAAGTGATCACAGATTATCGTTGTTTAGGCTCTATCTCTTCTAGTTTCCAAAATAAATGGACTTTTATGTTTTCACTCAAAAAATCGATTTTTAATGTGAAATAAAAGTGATCACAGATTATCGTTGTTTAGGCTCTATCTCTTCTAGTTTCCAAAATAAATGGACTTTTATGTTTTCACTCAAAAAATTGATTTTTGATGTGAAAATATCGATTTTTGATGGGAAATAAAAGTGATCACAGATTATCGTTGTTTAGGCTCTATCTCTTCTAGTTTCCAAAATAAATGGACTTTTATGTTTTCACTCAAAAAAATTGATTTTTGATGTGAAAATATCGATTTTTGATGGGAAATAAAAGTGATCACAGATTATCGTTGTTTAGGCTCTATCTCTTCTAGTTTCCAAAATAAATGGACTTTTATGTTTTCACTCAAAAAATCGATTTTTGATGTGAAAATATCGATTTTTGATGGGAAATAAAAGTGATCACAGATTATCGTTGTTTAGGCTCTATCTCTTCTAGTTTCCAAAATAAATGGACTTTTATGTTTCCACTCAAAAAATCGATTTTTAATGTGAAAATATCAATTTTTGATGGGAAATAGAAGTGATCACAGATTATCGTTGTTTAGGCTCTATCTCTTCTAGTTTCCAAAATAAATGGACTTTTATGTTTTCACTCAAAAAATCGATTTTTAATGTGAAATAAAAGTGATCACAGATTATCGTTGTTTAGGCTCTATCTCTTCTAGTTTCCAAAATAAATGGACTTTTATGTTTTCACTCAAAAAATCGATTTTTGATGGGAAATAAATGCACTTTTATGTTTTCACTCAAAAAATCGATTTTTGATGGGAAATAAATGTGATCACAGATTATTGTTGTTTAGGCTCTATCTCTTCTAGTTTCCAAAATAAATGGACTTTTATGTTTTCACTCAAAAAATCGATTTTTAATGTGAAAATATCGATTTTTGATGGGAAATAGAAGTGATCACAGATTATCGTTGTTTAGGCTCTATCTCTTCTAGTTTCCAAAATAAATGGACTTTTATGTTTTCACTCAAAAAATCGATTTTTAATGTGAAATAAAAGTGATCACAGATTATCGTTGTTTAGGCTCTATCTCTTCTAGTTTCCAAAATAAATGGACTTTTATGCTTTCACTCAAAAAATCGATTTTTAACGTGAAATAAAAGTGATCACAGATTATCGTTGTTTAGGCTCTATCTCTTCTAGTTTCCAAAATAAATGGACTTTTATGTTTTCACTCAAAAAATTGATTTTTGATGTGAAAATATCGATTTTTGATGGGAAATAAAAGTGATCACAGATTATCGTTGTTTAGGCTCTATCTCTTCTAGTTTCCAAAATAAATGGACTTTTATGTTTTCACTCAAAAAATCGATTTTTGATGGGAAATAAATGCACTTTTATGTTTTCACTCAAAAAATCGATTTTTAATGTGAAATAAAAGTGATCACAGATTATCGTTGTTTAGGCTCTATCTCTTCTAGTTTCCAAAATAAATGGACTTTTAAGTTTTCACTCAAAAAATCGATTTTTGATGGGAAATAAAAGTGATCACAGATTATCGTTGTTTAGGCTCTATCTCTTCTAGTTTCCAAAATAAATGGACTTTTATGTTTTCACTCAAAAAATCGATTTTTGATGTGAAAATATCGATTTTTGATGGGAAATAAAAGTGATCACAGATTATCGTTGTTTAGGCTCTATCTCTTCTAGTTTCCAAAATAAATGGACTTTTATGTTTTCACTCAAAAAATCGATTTTTAATGTGAAATAAAAGTGATCACAGATTATCGTTGTTTAGGCTCTATCTCTTCTAGTTTCCAAAATAAATGGACTTTTATGTTTTCACTCAAAAAATTGATTTTTGATGTGAAAATATCGATTTTTGATGGGAAATAAAAGTGATCACAGATTATCGTTGTTTAGGCTCTATCTCTTCTAGTTTCCAAAATAAATGGACTTTTATGTTTTCACTCAAAAAATCGATTTTTGATGGGAAATAAATGCACTTTTATGTTGTAAGGACCCAAAATGTTGCCATTTTGAACCCCACAATTTCTTTTATTGTAGTTTTTGAAATAAATACATAAAATGTCTATTTGATCAGTGTTTGACTTGGTGGGCAATGGATTACATCCATCAAAGGGGGGCGGATTACATCCGCCAATGTGTGTTTGTTTCTTTTCAGATAGAACGATCAATTCAGCCCAACAGAGTAACAGAACAGTGACATAGAGAGAAGGATTCAGCCAAAGAGAATTCAGCCAGAGAGAAAGAGAAGGATATTCAGCCAGAGAGAAGAAAGATATTCAGCAAGAGAGGAATTCAGCAAGAGAGAAGAAATATATTCCGCAAGAGGGAACAAGAGGATATCCAACCTGAGAGAGTGAGAGGACAGTCAGATGGGGAGAATAAGCTGTAAAACCGTTAACGGTTCAAACCTATGAGAGGAGCATCACTACAAAACTACAGGAGTTGTAGTTACTGAGGACTATAAAAGAGGATGTAAACGAACAATCAGTCTCTTTTGCGGTGTAACAGGTGAACAGCTAAGACGTGTGTGTCGGTAAGAAAACTACAGTGGGCAGTGCTAGGTTAGCAAGAAACACAGTAAGGCTAAGATTAGGTCTCTGGTTTACAATCAGTGGACAAACAAAAACCTTTAACGGATTTACATCTGCTAGAGGAAGATTAGGGCAGAGGTGATAGACATTTTCCCTGGAAGTTTACACTCGGGAAAATTAGGGTCAAGAGAGAACTCTAGAATTACATTCTAGAAGAAAAACCGTAGGCAAGCACTGGCTCAGGGCAAAAGCGATAGAAATCTTCCTGGAAGTTTACACTCGGAAGAGTTAGGAACAAGAGATAATCTCTAGAATTTACATTCTAGATATTCCCAAAGGTAGGAGTTAGAGGGCAGGATTGGAGGGACACCGACACGCGTCACACGTTCACAACCCGGCCAGCGAGACAAGTTCGTGTTAAGTGATATAAGTATTAAAAATACTTGCAAAGAAAAAAAAACAAATATATATAAGCATAAAAGTAATAAAGCTCGAGAGAAAAAAATAAGAACATTTGAAAGCGTGTATTAAAATTTTATGTAAAGGAATCCTGGACTAGACTGAGCACTACCCCAGCTTCAAACCCGGAATAACCGGAGGTTCCTTACATTGGCGCCCGAGCAGGGACCCTTTTGATCAACACACAAAAAGGTAATAAAAGAAGAGACAAGAAATCATGGTGCGTACGTCCTGGGCATATACCCTACGAAAGGATGAATTGGTGCAATATCTGGAAGAATTCGATCTAGATGCCAGTGGTACCGTAGAAGAAATGAGGAAGAGGTTTGCCACATTTATATCCGGTGAACACAAGGAAAAGGTCCTCACCAGGCTAGAGGAGCTAGAAAACAAGCACGGCCGGTGCCAAACACCCACAACCCCAGGTATGTCCACACAACTAGACGTGCCAACAGTGTCACATATGGCAACAAGAATGGGACAGCAATCAGCCTCAGGCCACCTGTTGTGCCCATCACCACACAATGAACGGAGTTCGCAATCGGCTACGAGTCCACCTCAGCAAAGTCCACACTACTCAACCGTGATCGACATAGTCAGGAAATGGTCGTTTCGCTATGAGGGCGGAAAAGATCCCATTGCTTTTGTTGAGCGAGTAGAAGAACTCGCGGAGGTCTACGGTCTGGACAAAAATATGCTACCCCGGACAATGCCAGAATTGCTTAAAGAAGCGGCGCTGCTGTGGTTCAGAAACAATAACCGTCAGTGGAACACATGGAGAAGCTTTAAGGATGACTTTCTGAAGTTTTTCCTGCCACCCCGATATTTTGAAGGGCTTGACGACGAAATTCGCCGAAGACAGCAAAAACCACGAGAAACCTTTAAAGACTTTGTCATCGTATTACAAAACATGATGAGACACGCGGGATACACACACGAACAGCAGGTGGATAGAATATTTAGGAATTGCCTTGTGGACTATCAAATGTACATAAGAAGGAAAGATTTTCAGTCCCTAGAAGAGCTGATTCAGATGGCCGAAGATTTCGAGGTAATACGAACACACCATCCCGAGGTAAGTCATGATCACCGTGACACTCGACAGGCTCATCGAAGAGATGATAGGGCTCGACAAATTGTACCCACGGCAGAGGAGACCCCGATTAATCCAACGACGGCATGCAGGAGGTGCGGTCAAGAAGGACATGGCTACCGTTTTTGCCAAAACGAGAGTGTGTTGTTCTGCTGGCAATGTGGCAGAAGAGGTGTGAGGACCCGTGAGTGCTGCCGAAGAAATGCGGGAAACGCCAGAGGACCGAGCCATCAGCAAGGGGAGGCTGCGGCCCTGAACAGACAAACCTTGCCCCAGTAAGTGCTTTCCGTCAAACGGAAACCCGATTGCTGGCCCAGGTCCAACTTGGAAGCCTGCACAAAGAGGCTACAATCGATACAGGCGCCTCGAGGAGTTATGTAAGCGAGCGTGTCGCCGACGAGTTAAGAGAACAGAGTCAGATGATTCCCGTGGATAGCAGGATCAGCTTAGCGAATGGTACCACAGTAGAAGTTAGAGAAGTTATCAGAGTGAGGGTGAGATTGGGCAGCAGGAATTGCCAAATGGAGATGGGTGTTATGCCAAGCATGCTGGACGAAGTGCTGCTAGGCTTAGATTTCTTGAGAGCGGTGGAGTTTGAGATGCAGTGCGGTGACCAGAAAGTTAAGTTTAGACCTGTTTCCCAACAGGTAATGATGGCAGTAGAGGAGCAGGCAGTGATGGCAGGCGAGGAAGCACCTAGTGAAGATGAAGTAATTTCTCGGTTTCTGGAGAGTGAGTTAGACAAGTTCAAAGATGTCAAGGGTCCTACAAATTTAGCTGAACACCAAATCACACTGAAAGATGACAGACCGGTCCGACAAAGGTACACGCAACGCAATCCCGAAATGCAAAGGCTGATCAATGAAGAAATCGATGAACTGTTGAGAAATGGATGTATAGAGCCCTCAAAGAGTCCCTACAGTGCACCCATTGTCATGGCACCAAAGAAAAATGGTACCCTTAGATTGTGTATTGATTACAGGCAGCTCAATGCCAAAACAGTGGCCGATGCATACCCCTTGCCACGGATTCACGCCATTCTAGACCGGCTGCGTAATTCAAAGTTCATTAGCAGCATAGATCTTAAAAATGGGTACTGGCAAATACCAATGGCAGAGGACAGCAAAGAGTACACAGCATTCACAGTGGCTGGAAAAGGTTTGTTTCAGTGGAAGGTGATGCCTTTTGGGTTAACGTCAGCTCCAGCGACGTTTCAGAGAACGTTAGATAGAGTAATTGGTGCAGAAATGGAACCCCACGCCTTTGCCTACCTGGACGATATTGTGGTGCTGGGAAATTCGTTGGAAGAGCACATGGCCAATTTGAAAGAAGTGTTTAGAAGACTTCGAGAAGCGCGACTGAAGATAAATCAAGAGAAATGTAAGTTTTTCCAAAAGGAAATAAAATATTTAGGCCACGTAGTCAATGAAGGTGGAATCAATACGGATCCCGAAAAGATTGCCGCTATCCAAGAACTTCAACCCCCAAGAAACGTGAGAGAACTGCGAAGATGTCTCGGAATCGCTTCGTGGTATAGAAGATTCGTCCCCGAATTTTCACAGATTGTACATCCCCTGACCACGTTGCTAAGGAAGGGTAAGCATTTTCGTTGGAACCAAGAGCAACAGGAAGCATTCGAGCGTTTGAAGAAACTCTTAACAGAAGCCCCAGTTTTAGCTTGCCCCGATTTCTCGAGGAAATTCACTCTTCAGACTGATGCGTGTGATTACGGCCTAGGAGCTGTTCTGACCCAAGAGTTTGAAGGTCAAGAGAGGGTGATATCGTACGCTAGCCGCAGATTAAACCCGGCCGAAATGAATTATTCGGCGACCGAGAAAGAGTGTTTGGCAATAGTGTGGGCCATCAGGAAATTACGGCCATATCTAGAAGGCTATCATTTCACCGTAGTGACTGACCACCTTGCACTTAAGTGGCTCAACTCGATTGAGAGTCCCTCAGGCAGAATAGCTAGATGGGCCCTAGAGCTCCAACAGTATAGTTTTGATATTCAATACCGCCGCGGAAAACTTAATGTAGTGGCAGACGCACTATCCCGTGACCCGGCAAATGTATGCCAAGCTATTCAGGACAGGCCAGTGGAGTGCAGCTGGTGGAAAAGAAAATGCGATGAAATAAGCAAAGAACCAGAGAAGTTCCCAGACTTCCTTATTCTCGAAGGGCAACTTTATCGTCACCTCCCGACGTGCGATGAAGACGAAGAATGTGCTCCCTGGAAGCTGTGTGTCCCCTCATACCAGCGCCAGAGAGTGTTGCAAGAAAACCATAACGCCCCGACTGCCGGTCACCTCGGCATAAGAAAAACCATGGCGCGTGTCACGAAGAAATATTATTGGCCCGGAATGTTCAGAGACATTCGTACTTATGTCAGAAACTGTGAAATATGTCAACAGCATAAACCCAACCAACTGCTCCCCGCAGGAAAAATGCTGTCACGTATCGCAGAAGAACCATGGTCTATAGTTTGCGCAGACTTTGTAGGCCCTCTACCAAGGTCAAAGCATGGAAACTCGATGCTGCTAGTCTTCACGGACAAATTTTCCAAGTGGTCAGAGTTAGTACCAATGCGTCGAGCAACAGGAGAAGCCTTACGTAAAGCCTTTAGAGAAAGAATCTTAGCGAATTTCGGTGTACCAAAGATGTTAATCACCGACAATGGCTCCCAGTTCACCAGTAAGATGTTTCGTGAATACCTCAAAGAAATTGGTGTTCATCACCAGTTGACTGCCCCGTATACGCCCCAAGAAAATCCCACAGAACGTGTCAATCGCACCGTAAAGACCATGATTGCACAGTACGCTGGATGTAATCAGAAAACATGGGACGAGGTAATCCCAGAAATACAATTAGCCATAAACACGGCTAAGTCAGATACGACCCAGTATAGCGCCGCTTTTCTGGTACAAGGAAGAGAACCGAGACTTCCTGCCGCGTTGTACGATGAAGTAACCCCAGGAACGGGAACATCAGCCCGAAACCCCCAAGAAAAAGCTGAAATGCTGAGGCATATATTCAGTTTAGTAAGAACAAATCTCGTTAAAGCAGCTAAAGACCAGGCGCGTTACTATAATTTGCGCCGAAGAAAATGGAATCCTAAAGTAGGAGAACTGGTATGGGTTAAAGAACACCATTTGTCCAGTGCAGCGGACAGTTTTGCCGCCAAACTCGCCCCGAAGTTTGCAGGCCCGTACCGCATTCACCGATTAATATCGCCCGTAATTGTTGAGGTACGTAAAGACGGTGAAAAGAGCTCGCGAACGGCTCACGTGAGTGAATTAAAAGTTTATAGTAGTCCGTCGGCTGTAAATGACGTGAAGAAATCAAGTGAATTATAAAGTGAATTATGAAGTGAATCATAAACGATCATGAGAACGAAATTAAAGGAAAAAAAAAACAACAAAAAACAAATATAGGTACAATGAAGTTCAAAAAAATATATATATCTAGAGAAAAATCTTAAAAAAAAAAAAAAACCCAAAAAAATATATAGTGAAAAAAAAACCCCTAAGAAAAAAATACAATGAAGTTCTAAAAAAAAAATATTAAAAAAAAAAACTAGAAAAACCCTTAAAAAAAAAAGAATAATAAAACAATAAAATTAAAAAAAAAAAAAATCGCTGAAAAAATGTACATAAAAAAAAAATATATAGAAAAACGCTACAATGGGCAACATTGTTCGATGGTTCGATCGAACATCAATGCGTGGGCAGAGAATAAACAATGCAACGCATACCCTTTACACACATTTACTACACACACTCCACACAGTTTATATTAGTCAGCGCGTGCGTAACTAAGAAGTGCGGACGAAACAAGTGCGACAAGAAAAAAATAATAGTAAAACACAACAATTGGAGAAAAAAAGTATTTACACAAACAAGAACATTAAATTAACAGTTTTTTTTTACGAGAACAACAACAGTGAGTATAGAAACAAAAAAAGAAGTTTGTGTGTCTAGTGTGACTTTCGTGGTTTGTGAAAAAGTATTTAATGAACAATATAAAAAAAAAAGGGGAAAGGAAAATGTGCTCTTATATATAGAAAAAAAAAGTAGATACATATATGTATAAATTTGTAGCAAGCGTGCGACAATTTAATGGAGTTTCAGTGCGACTTCCCATGTCGTAACCGAACTCAGAAAGGCCCAGTCTACGTCCTCGTGTGTGTAGTGGATAGATGTGTGTCCTAATGTTCTGTGTTTGTGGAGAGGAAGAAAACAAAGAAAGGGATGCTTTGTTATTTATTTTTAGATGGAGAATCAAGATTATTTACGCCATGGTGACATCATTACAATCTCCGATGACGAGAGCATCCTACAGGACCCTACGGAAGAGGACATGCCCTCGTCCCAGGTCACCGTGCGGTCGGAGATGAGCTTGCTCACTGAAGCGGAAACTGGTGGATATGACCCCGATGAGCAGCTGTCCTGTTCGCAGACCACGGAGTCATCCCAACCCGAGTGGGAGTCGAGGGTCTGGATGGAAGCGCGAATAGACCGCTACATCCGGCGCCGCCCGAAGTACCGTCAGTACATTGCACAATTATGTGTTACCTGGACGGTGGAGGCGTCGGATAGTGAGGGCGAGGATCCAGACCCGCTGGTAGAGTTTCCCGTGTCTCCCAAAAGGATGGCGTTAATGGACGGCTGCGCCAGCCCACCACGGGAGGAGGAGGCCCAGGATCCGCTGCTGCCGACCGACGGTGACGAGCTTCGCTTAAGCGGCTTTGAGGAGGATGCGCTTTCCCTAGGCGACATAAGTCTGGGAAGCCTTGAAGAGGCATTCCACCAGGCAATGGCACAACCCAATGGTTCCCCAGTCACGCCTCCCCGAACGTCCCCATCCCCACCAGTCAGTGCAGAACCGGATTTCCCGCTCGAGGTTGACGGGGAGCAGCAACTACCGGCGGAGATTATGATAGAAATCGCTGCAGCGGTAGAAAAACGGAAAAAAGTGTGTTTCCGACGGGACGTAAGGGGAAAGTCGTATCGAATACGTGTCTCGGCGTCTGGGAATGTTACCGTCCGTTGTCTACCGGGAAGAAAGAAGGGAGTGTAAGGACCCAAAATGTTGCCATTTTGAACCCCACAATTTCTTTTATTGTAGTTTTTGAAATAAATACATAAAATGTCTATTTGATCAGTGTTTGACTTGGTGGGCAATGGATTACATCCATCAAAGGGGGGCGGATTACATCCGCCAATGTGTGTTTGTTTCTTTTCAGATAGAACGATCAATTCAGCCCAACAGAGTAACAGAAC